AGATAGGAGCAAAAACAGAAAAGTGTGATGTCTGGGTAGTCAAATTAAAGAAGTGTTTCAAGGGTGAGAGTATGTTTAACTTTCTGATGCTGATTATAAGCCAAGTAAGATGAGGTCTGAGAATTACTGTTGTATTTAGCAAAGGAGAAGACATTAGAGATCTTGATAAGAGCAGTTACATGGGCCAGAATCTACTTACCAAGTGAATTACTCATTGTTGTGTAAGAATTTGCCCCCAAAGTTAATTTAAAACAAACAACATTATGTCATGGTTTCTTTGGGTCTGGAATCCAGAAGTTGTTTAGCTCCTTGCCTCTGTCTCATGGTCTCTCAAGAGGTCTATTACTTCTGCTGTATTCACACAGATCAACCCTGGGACTTTGTTGGAGGAATTGTACAAGGATTGATACTAGCAGGTGAAACTCCCTGGGAACCATCTTAAAGACTAGCTATCGCAAAATGGGCGAAAGCAAGAACGAGAGGGAAGAGTTAGAGATGTTGAATACCAAAGACCCTTTTGAGGAATTTTGCCAGGAAAAGGAGAAGAGGAAAAGGGAATTTGTCCAGGCATATCTGCAAGTCGATGTAGTAATGGAGCTTAAAGAATTTCTCTGATTATTTTCTCATGAAATAAGAACCAAGATTCTCAGTTGAAATTGAAGGACAGAAAATAATTTACAAAATAGTAATCTAGGAATGTGGAGAGAGAATGAATTTGGAAAATATAGTATGATTACTAAGCAGCACTGACGGTGTATTCAAGACTAGTGATCTTGAATTAAAGCATAGTCAGTCAGAAGAGTTGTGTGTTTTTCCCCAGCTATGAGCTTGTGAGTACAAGTTATGTAGTAGGTACAAGGGCAGGAGGTTAGATTTGTAAATGTTGGTATTTGTATCTGTCCTATCTGCCTAGATATGACAAAGCAAATTGGGATATATGCAAGAATGAGTGATAATGATGGAGTATGGAATTTAAGATGGGTAAGGAGGAAAGGATTTGAAAGAAGGTACAGGGATTGCAAAAAGGAGGAGGATTTGTGGAATCTACTAAATGAGGTCCAAAGATTGTTGAGCTTGTGGCATTAGAGTAAGCTGGAGAGAGGATATTGATTGAACTTTAAATTGCAGTCATAGGTAATGTAAAGTTCTAGGGAATGACTATAGGAATGAGGAGCTAAGGAGAGCTAGAGTGCAATAACACTTAAGGAGAGGGGAAAGAGAACCTAAGAGGTGTGATTGCTGGAGTAGTTTTGGAAGAAGTGACCTTGAGTTAGGAAATGAAGCCTTAAAAAAAGGAAAAAAAAAGAAAGAAAGAAAAAAAAAAGAAATGAAGCCTTTAGGAGCTGAGGGCTTCCAGGCTTTGTAGCGACTGCAAAACATGAATGAAACTGTGAATGGTACTGTCCAAGAGATTCAAAGCCAGTGGTGGAGGTGGTTTCAGAAAGGAGAGACCAAGAATGGCTAAAGGCATATCAGTAAGGAATAAAGAAGCTCCAGGTCCAGTAGTGGTAGAAGTATAGAAAAAGGAACAGCCCCCACTTGAGAGGGCTATGTTGGAGTGGGCATCCTTAGGAAAAGCAGTAACTAAACTTGTGCTTTTTGAGGCAGCAGATTCTAATTTCACAATAGCTGGGTATTTTGAGAAAAATCAACTTTCCTTTGATGAAAATTTTTTCTCCTTCTCAGCTCTTCTCTGAAATATTATAGAAGTTAAGTTTCTTAATTTCGATTGGTTTTCTTTCTGTTTGATTTCTTTTGAGATATTTGAAAACTTAGAAAAAATTGTAAGGTAGTACAAATAATTTTTCCTGAGCCAGTTAATAGTAATTTGCCAACATGATGATGCTCACTCCATCATCCCATATACTTCAGTATCTATTTCCTCCAAACAAGAACATTCTTCTATACAACCCTAATAAAATCAAGAAATTAATGTTGATACATTATTACTGTCTATCCTCAACCCATTCAAGTTTCGCTAGTTGTCCCAATAAAGTTGTTTATAGAAGAATGATCCAGTTCAGAATCATGGCTGGTAATTAGCTGTTGTCTCTTTAGTCTCCTTCATCATAGAACAGTTCCTTGGTCCTTTTTAATTTCCATGACCCTGAAACTCTTAAAGACTACAATCCTATTAATTTGTAGAAAGTGCTTCAATTTGAATTGCTTTGTGATTTCCTCATGATTGGATTCAGGTTATGCACCTTTGACAAGAGTATCTCTGAAATGATACTATGTTCTTCTCATTATATCCTAGTAGGTGGTACATGATTTGTCTGTCCCACTACTAATGATGTTAACTTGGATCATTTTAGACTTCTCTACCCTAAACTTACTCTTTTTTCACTTCAAACATCTGCTTTTTCACTTCATTCATATGTGTGTGTGTGTGTATATATATATATATATATATATATATATATATCATATGGACTTAAGAATTTCTCTATTATTCAATGGATATTAATCTGTGACTGTCATAATTTATTTTGTGCTCTGTTCATCCCTGAAATGACCAGGGGTAGCCTCTCCAAGCTAGCTCAATGTCCTTTTGATATGTCCCCTTATTCTTTTAGCACTTCTTTGCTTTCTGGTATGAAAAGATGATCCAGACTTCTCTTGTCCTATCTGTGCCCCAGCTCTGGTGTCAACCATTTCTCCAAAAACTCTGGTTCCTTTAATGTAAGATAGTATTATGAAACCAATATTTGGGGATGTGTTCCTCCCAGGGCTTTTTAGTGGACAGAGCTAGTGAGTTATGTATGTACACACACATATATTTACATATGCATATGCAAATTTGCACCAATCTTTATCTAAATATATTGTGAAAAACATGAGTTCATGTATTTCTAATTTCAATCCAGTACCATAGGATTCATTTATATTTGTATCTACTTTCCATATACATCCTTTCTCTGATTTTTTTTTTTAAGATTTTATTTATTGATTCATGAGAGACACAGAGAGAGGCAGACATAGGCAGAGGGAGAAGCAGGCTCCCTGCGAGGAGCCCAATGTGGAACTCAATCCCAGGACTCTGGGATCACACCCTGAGCTGAAGGCAAACACTCAACCACTGAGCCACCCAGGCATCCCTCTGAAAGATTTCAATGAGAAACCTGACTTTCATTATCCTTAATATAGTATTTTATGTGATCATTCTCTCATATGTGCCAGTCTCTTCTCACTGCTCCCTCTCCCTCGGAATGCTCTTCTTACACCTCTTGGGCTTCAGCACCTCATGCCAAGTCACTTCTTTGTGTAGGTACTCTTCTCAAAGCCACTTGAACATACTAAGTCTTTGTATCAGGACTTCCTTCTGTAGGGGATGTTGGTCTCACCTTACTTTACCCCCATGAGAGTTTATCAGGCTGCTGCTGCGCATACCCACCCTCACCATCATCATCATCCTTTTTGGACTCCTATGCCTGTACCTGGCTGCCCCTCTGCAAGAACACCTTCCTCACCTAATTTGGGCTCCAGCACCCCCTTTCCCCTGCACCCCCTTAGTTGTTCTTCCCTGTAGTTGCCCTTTTCATCTTGCTTGGGCTCCCAATACCTTACCCTAAGTTATCCCTCCACCAGGATTGCCCTCTTCATCCTACATAGGCTCCAACATCAGGCAGCCACTCCATATGGATTGCTCCATTTACCAGATACCAGAGTAGTATCCCACTCTGCTCCCTGCTCTGCAGAGATGCCCACCTTGTTTAAATGTTTAAGTTCCACCTTGTTGTAATGACCTGACACCTGCAACCTGGATGGAAGTAGACCATTTTTACATGTAAAGGGCACAGTCTTCCACAAGACTGAGCTGATTTCAAACATAAGGTCGCACTTCAGGGGTCCACAAGTTACCCACATTTCTGATTAGATGGCTACAGATTTGGGGTTCCTATTACCCCTTCAGGTTTGAAGTTGCTAGAACAACACACAGAACTCAGGAAAGCACTCTCCTTATTATTTTAGTTTTATTATAGCAAAGGGATACATATCCAAGCCAACCAAAAGAAGAGATACATAGGGCAAGGTCTGAGAGGGTCCCAGATTTGTGAAGCTTCTGTGTTCTCTCCCCTAGGAGACAGGATGTGTCACCCTCCCAGAAAGTTTGTATGTGACAATATGTAGAGTATTACCAATCAGCAAAACTTCAATCTCCAGGCCCTTTTCCCCTCACTGGAGGTTGGGCTCCCATTATGTGTCTCAAGCCCCACCTTTCTTGGTCTTGTGTGGCCAGCCCGCATCCTGAGTCATCTCCTTACCATAAATTATCTGGGCCAACTGTGAATAAGTTCCAGCACTCCACTTCCCCCAGCCTCAGGTGTTCTCCCATGTAGTTGCCTGTCCAGGAAAATTCTAAGAATTTAGAGGTCATTTCCAAGGAATTGGGACAAAACCCAAACAAATCCTTTATTCCAAGGGATTAGAGGTTACCATTAAGCAACTAGGACAGAGGCCAGTCAAATGCTTTACTGTGCATCAGTGGAAAACTAAATTGCTTCCTTCTGAATATACATATCAATTATTCCTCTTAAGATAAATCAACCTTGAGGGGTGCCAGGGTGGCTCATTCGGTTAAGCATCTACCTTCAGTTCAAGTGATGATCTCATGGTCCTGGGATTGAGCCCCAGGTCTGGCTCCCTGCTCATCAGGGAGTCTGCTTCTCCCTCTGCCCCTACCCCCTGCTTGTGCTCTCTCTCTCTCTCTCTCTCTCTCTCTCTCTCTCTCCAATAACTAAAATATATTTTTTAAAATATACCTTGAGATTTTTTTCATGCACCTTCTCAGATTAAAATAAATTGTACAATTTTATAGTGGTTATCATGTACTTACTCATTTTTTATATAGAAGTTATTAAACTTCCAGAAGTGTTCTAATACTGCTATATAAAATGATAATGACATTGGAGTAATATAATCAAACTTATTAAAGTACTAATTTACTTGTATTAAATTTTTCCTTTTTACCTGTCAGTTACATATCTTATCTGTTTTAGGTGTGACTCTAGCCTTTCCAGCTTCAGTTCATGAATCTCTGATTTGCAGTAAAACATTTCAAATTCTATATAAAAATGAGGAGGTTGTTTTAAATGATGTCATGATCTTCAAAGTTAAAATGTTGTTGGATGAAAAAAAGGTAAACATCTCTTCATATGTATTTAGATAAATATTTTTTGTAAAGCTTCAAGACATATTTCTAACTTTCTATAAGTATTCAGAAAGACCCCTTATATTGTAATTTCTCTTTAGATTGAAGAAACCCTTGAAGAAATGAATTTTTTGTTATCCTTGGATCTACACTTCACAGATGGAGATTATTCGTAAGTAGGCTATTCAAACAAAGATCTTTAGTTTTCATAACTGCTATCTATTCCCCACTTTCTTGTTAGAATCTAGCTTCTCCCTTTTTTGTTTATTTGAACTACTTCTGTCTATGGAGTCTCATGAGAGTAGTTAGGCCTACTGTGTCCATTCCATGAGCCCCAGGTAACAAATCATACAAGTTGAAGAAATAATTTCCTAGGCTCTAGAAACTCCACTGTTGACATAATACCACTACTATGAGACATTTAAGTATAACCAAACTCTTTCACTGTGTAACTGACCATCTTATGGCATGAGTGATGCCATCTTTAGTCAGGACTCTTGATGATTAGAGAGTTTTTAAGACTGATGACCTTTATACTTTGCAATTTTTTCTAGTTCATTAATTCCTGGAGCCCTTGAGGAAGTTTTAGGATTGACTATTGTGAACTTGTTCACACATCTGGACATATAGTCATATATTTTAGGGACACACTGTGCTTGTGTTCATTTAAAACAAGAATCAGATTTGTTTAACAATTTTATTTTTGTAGGGTTTTTCTCTCATTTCAAATGTACTTGTAGAAATACTTGAAAATTACATATAAATTTAGATACTTGTAGGATATATGACTAAGCAGTCACATTTTAAAAGGTCTATATGAGATGTCCTCTTTACTATCATGGAGGAATAAGAATTTTTTATGTGGTAGCTACTACTCCCCTGTAAGAATGCCTTTGGGGTTATTTTTAAACCAAGTCAGAATTTTGTAAATGAAGTAGGCTGAAATGAGTAGTTTGTAAATTATAGGTAGTTATAATGTTTGTATGGGTTAAAATATATACACACATATACACAAACACACTTGGAAATCATTCTCATAGCATTGTTTTAATTTTTTATATGTGTCAGTCTAATGACAGAGTATATCTATAATCAAATATCTACCAGCTGCTTGCTTAATTTCAAGCAGCACTTAATGATAAAATTTTTTACAAGAAAAATAATTTTAACTACATTTTATAGGGACGTTAGTGAAAATCTGTATCCATGGACTGGTAGAAAACTAAATATAAGATGTGGTTATTTTCTTATTATTAGATTTCACATTTCTGTTTAATGCAAATGTGATACCTTAAAAATTATTCTCATTTTAAGTTTTAAAAAAATAATTAAGTAACTAAATGTTTTGATCATTGAAACTACTCTACAAAATATTAGCCTTTACTAAATATGCCATACTTATATGTAAATGTGTTGCTTTTTCTAGGGCAGATGATCTGAATGCCTTGCAACTAATAAGTAGCCGAACATTGAAGCTGCACTTTAGCCTCCATAGAGGCCTTCATCATCATGTTAATGTTATGTTTGATTATTTCCACCTTTCTGTTGTGTCCGTTACAGTTCATGCATCATTAGTTGCACTACACCAGCCACTAATAAGGTAAATTTAGCCAATACTCTGGTCCTTATTAATGTAGTATCTGTCATTTTATAGTGAAAACATATACTTTGATAAAGATAATTGAAGTAATGAGGGAGTTCTAATTTATAATTATGAAATAAATGTTTTCAGTTTAGACTAGAATAATAAAATAACTTTTAAGAACATGGAAACATTAGATTGATAATTCTTTTAATACAGAAATATGGAGCAATCTTTGTCAAATAAACTAACCAAGGAAAATAATGCAGTCTGGAAATAACCATACAGCATTGTTTAGTCTGTATCTGTGTTTTTAAATAATGCTATACTGTGTTCATTTTCTGGAAAAATATTAGTTTTTTCTCAGTTTCTTGGTCTCTTCTCTGGATTGCCTAATTTTTTCTTAAATCTGTGCTATATAATAATTCTTGTTTTCTAAGTCATTAATCAATTTGTGTATCTTAACTAATAAACTTTTTAAACTATAACATGTACCATTTTAGCCTAAAGGTACATAATATTCTAGATTATAATAAATGCATTGAGATAATTATTTTCTCTGGCCACTTTCATAGGGAGATGTGTTTCATTATGTGAGAATATATTTCAGGCCCTTCAGTTTTTTCCGTAAACATCATTCTCTTGTGGTATGAGCAACAGACGGACACTTTCAAAATTAGTAACTTAAATGAAAAGACTCCAAGTTGATTTGATTACTGAACTGTCTACAATTTTTTTCCAGTCTGATTCCAACAACTGATACTTGGGGTGATACTTCAGGGTTCAAATGTTAAAATGAAAATCTTAAAAAAAAAAAAAAGGATGTCTGGGTCGCTCAGCAGTTAAGCGTCTATATTTGGCTCAGGGCGTGATCCTGCGGTCCCGGGATCAAGTCCCACATCAGGCTCCCTGCATGGAGCCTGCTTCTCCCTCTGCCTATGTCTCTGCCTCTCTCTCTCTCTCTCTCTCTTTGTGTCTCTCATGAATAAATAAAATCTTTAAAAAAATGTTAAACTGATTTATCAGAAAAACTAAATAGGTAATTCTGTATAATTACCCTCAAAGTTTATAGAAGACCAGTACAACTTAACCTATTGCCCACAAGTAACAGCTTCCTGTGGCACATATCCTTAAATTGTCTTAAAACCTCTGAAAAAAAATTTAAAAAACCTCTGAGAACCTCTGCCATTGTGTAGTTGCATGGTTTCTTTGAGAGCACAGGGCCAGGAATAAATGTTTCTCCTAATGACTTGCTTTGCTTTCCTTATTCTATAGTTAGATCTGTAACTAGTTGTTTTGCTATCTTTGTCTTACCTCTTAAGCCTTTAGAGAGCTTGTTCTCGATTATTAAAACTTTTGGATATGTAATAGGGAACTTTCCTATTATGTAATTTTATTAAAAACTTCAAAAAAATTTTAGATGTTGATTGAATAAATTAATATGTAATAACATGATAACTGAGTAAAACTTCTTTGATAAGAAAAGTGGCTTTTTTGAAATATAACTTTCAAATAAGTAGTATACAATATTATTTTTTATGAATTATGTCAGGTTTTAATGCTGAAAGTGTAATGATAAAATACATTTCTGTAGTTTTCTAAATCTCTTGTAATTACAGTAAGAATCCTAACTGAATCATTTCAACCATTACTTTTTTTTTTTTTTTATAACACTGGCTCAGTTTCTCTTCTAAGAAATGTACAAACAATTCATAGAGGTTAGCTCAGGTTATTCATGTTGTTTTCTAAGGCCCGGACTAAATAGAGTTAGTGATATTTATATCACCAATCCTAGTGAGTTAAATGTGTGCTTCCTCTTGCAATGCAGCAGTTTTTGCCACAGACTAGTAGGAAAAAGAGGCAGCTCATCTCCTAGAGACCGTCTACTGGAAGAAGACATTTTTGGCTCAGAATCAGGAGCCAAGAGGATTAACTGTTGGCTCTGGTTAGTGACTGGGAAGGATACTGAGGTGCTGCAGCAGCTGAGGTTGCTGGGCCTTACCTAGCTGCCATGGGCCTTCATATCCCCTCTCTTGCGGCTAGAACTTCACCATGAAAGAAGTTAACATCTTTCCCTGCCTTTTTCCTTGTCTGTAAACGAGAGATTGGAGAAGGGAAGCAAGAAAAGGGTAAAGAAAAGCTTTTTTGCTGGTGCCTGCTGCTGGAGGGGTCATGTTAAGGGTAACATTCCTCACTATGCTTTGACAAGTTTTTCCGGAAGTTTTTTTCTGGATGGATTTTTTTTTTTCTCCTCTAAACAAAATGGAAACGTATTTTACAATATCATCTTTTTAAATGTTATTTTTATTGAAAACAGTTTCTAATATCAACCCAACTAAAGACGTTAAATCATTTTTTTGTAATAAATGTAACCCCACAGAGGATTTCTTTCTTTGCTTTTTTTTTTCATAACCTATTTTTATGTTTGAACTTTTTTAAGTACACGTTTTATGCCTCAATTCTGAAAAACATATTGTAGCAAGTGTAACTTACCATTGACTTGCAATGCCCTTCTTTGCTGGGATATCGATATTTTTGCAAAGCAAATTAATTTTTGCAAATGAAGGCTGCTTTCTGCTTATGGCAAAACTGATTTACTTTCCTGTCTTTTCCTTTTTGCCGAACTGCCAAACAGTTCAAATGCTTTGGCCTACTTACAACTAGCCAATACTTTATTTCAAAATTGTATATGGTTTTAAACAAACAGAATATGCTTATTGTATAGAACTTACGGTACATTAAATATAATATTAATACTAACATCAGTAATTTATATAATATGCAATTGAGATAGTAACTTGGACTACTTGAAGTTTGTCTTAATAGAGTTTCTAGATTTGTAGTAAAGAGAAAGGAAATATCTTGTCTTTGAGAAAAAGAGATAACAAGTAGATTTGGTAATATTTCTTTTTTTACATTTACATGAGAAGCTCTTTATTCCTGTAACTAGCATCCATATTTGATTTTTAACTTTATAAACTTGGTAGAGGTTCTGACAGTCCAGCATTTCCAGATTAAAGCTTGACCCCCGTTTGTCATTTAACTACTCTAGATTCCACAGTTTTATCTTTAGAATTATTTGAGATTTCCTGAAGCCCAGTTATGGAAAAATTATCTCAGGCATCTAGTCTTAGTTTTTTATATATTCATTGCCTTTTCATAATAATTCCAATTATTAAAAAAATTTAAGAGTACTTTAGAAATTATAGCCATGCAAAAGTCTTGCTCTTTATCTTTAGAAAATTTTCATTTTTAAACATTTAACATTCAAATAGACTATTACGACAATAATAATGTAATATTTATTCCTCCAGCTTTCCTCGCCCTGTGAAGACTACTTGGTTAAATAGAAATGCACCAGCACAAAACAAAGATTCTGTGATTCCTACTCTTGAAAGCGTGGTCTTTGGTATTAACTACACAAAACAATTATCACCAGACGTAAGAACTGATACATTCATACATCCTTTTTCCTCTCATTTTAAATGAAGTATTCTTTAACTGTTTCATCTGTGAATGTTATGTTTATTTTGTTTATTAATTATCTTAGCTCAACAACTTACAGACCTAGTTAAATATGATCTTAACAAATTGATTGGTTCTGATTGTTTATTATGGAAACTAGCCTGATACTTAAAGATTTACCAGATTTAGTGGATAGAGGTCTTTGACACCCAGTGCCTTTTTTAACTTGTTACTGTTACCTCTTGCTCCTTTTAACAGAACTGGTAGCATCACTCCAAAGGACCTTGTAAAGATCAGTTGCCAGGGTTGAAACCTAAGCTTGCAGTAGTACAAGTACAACCACTATTCCCTTAGAAGGAAATGGGCTGACACTATAAAAGCAGAGTATCTGTCCCTCACAAATGGAATCTGAATCTCAAATTTTCAAAAACCATAATTTAATCTGCTTGTTTTAAAAGCCCACTGTAATTGAAATTATTAGAGTTACATTTTATGTGTTTAAATTACTTGAATGAAAAAGAGCAACTCCCTAAAATATTGCTGATTTTGTTTTTATGTTTTAGAATAACTAATTAATAAACGCTTAGGATTTTTTCCTTTGTTTTACTATTTCAAGTGTAATATTTTTAGATTTTTGATAACTAACATTCTATATCCCAAATCCATTCTTTGTTTAGGGTTGCAGCTTCATCATTGCAGACTCCTTCCTACATCATGCCTATCATTTTCATTATACACTTTGTGCCACTTTGCTGCTAGCCTTCAAAGGATTGCACAGCTACTTCATTACGGTAACAGAAGAGATTCCCTCTTGTCAGAAACTAGAACTGGGTATGTTAAAAGTAGCCAGACCTAACCTATAGTTCAAGTCTTCTCTTCATTCTCATTTTGCTAGTTATCAGCTTTGCTAGTTTTTCTATACTAAACCTATAATGTTTGTAAGCTTCACTTTTACCTCTCTCTTGATTCCATCTTTTTTGACCCTTGGCAATTACTTTCTGCAATTAAAAAAAAAAATTTATGATATAGAGAGGTAACTCCTCCATGCTAAGTTTGAAATGAGTTTTTGATAGATTTTTTAAAAATATATGTCAATATGCTACTCCTATGAAAATATAACCAGAAAGCATACTATAAAGCAAATGTTGTCATTACCTATAGAATCATGGAAAGATAAACTAAATCCGTGCTTCAAATATTTAACAATCTAAGCAGATTGTGGGTACTTGGAACATTTTTATATACATTTGGTTTTAAGTGATCTCAAATCTTATTTCTTTTATTTCACTTCAGAGAATAATAACATTACTCAGTTTTAACATTTTGAAATTTAATCACTAAAACAATCCATCTAGATTTGAGTCCAACAGTAATATCTGCATATGTTATAATAGTACACAACAAAAAATCATATTGCCTTGATTTTGAGTATCATTTGTAGTTTGCAAAATGCTTTTGTACTTATTTTGCAGAAGATAAATTTTTGGGATTAGCCAAAATAAGTTTTTATTCAGACCTTTTTATGATAGTTTAATAAGCTTTTATTTTCAAACATCAGCTACTAGCTTATCTATTAAGCACACATTCGTTATCCCTCCATTAATTTATTAATAAATTAATTTTATTATATACTTGAATAAATCAAGAATTACTTTTCAATTTTACTTTAATCAGTGTTCTTTATTTCTTTGTTTCTCAAAGATCTCAGTCTTTTAACAATATTGATGCACTCATAAAAATAGTTACTGTTATTAGAAATGATTCTTGGGTTTGAGAGTACTAGCCTATTTTTATAATTGTCTATTGGGGGATTCATAAGAATTCTAGGAACATGTTATGATTTGACCTCGCTTAAATCCAGCTGGGTATTGTGCCACTGCCTATGAGCAGCTAGTCCAGTGGATTTAATGAACAGATATCACTAGGTTCACTATTTGGAATCCTTAATTCAAGTATTCCAGTTATATACAGGTGTACAAGCAATGGGGAAATTTATTCTTTTTTGCTCATGTGTTCTTTCCCAAGACAAAAATGGTGGAAATCTTTTGATTACTGTTCTCTGAAATACTCTTCTTTCTTGATATTTTATATACTTAGAATCTTTCTGTTTCCCTTAGGAAAATCCTGTCTAAGATTTCTGTCTTAAATTTAAACTATTTAAAATCTTCTTTTTTGAACATGAAAGAAATGTTTGTAGAATAGAACTAATTTAGGCTATCACTATCCTCAATTAATGGAAAAATTATGCTCCATATATTTCTTGATTTGTTTTTTTTTTTTAACTCCAACACATCTTAGAATCATATAAATTTTGGTTAATGACTAAACTACCAAACTATTAAGCCACAGTATTAATGAAGGACAATATCCTGTACCCAAGAAATGGAATTATAAAAAGAAGTGATGTGAAACTCAGAAGCCATGTATGATGGTATTTCTACAAGAAAATTTGTTAATAGTTTTGATGTTGAATAATGTAATAGAATTTGTAGAGGCATAATCTTGTAGTTAGAGTGCATGTTTGAATCCATTTCTTTCACTTACTAGCTTTGGGACTGTATATAGGAAGTGGATTTCATTTGAAAGATATGGCGAATAGAGGGAACCAAATGTGCGTGAATAGGAAGGAAAGATAAGGACATTCAAAAGGCAAACAGTGTAAAATAGCTCTAGGACTAAGACTTCTTAATAGTGTATTCCCTTGGGATTTTTATGGCCACCGACTGTGTCAAGTACTGAGCTAGATGCGGAGGAAATACAGGGTCTCTATCTTTAAAGAGCTTTGACTTCTCTTCCTTTAATAAGTGATCAGTCCAGCATTGGAATGAATAAGAGAAACTCACCCAGCAAGATGAGACTTTAGTGGTTTTAATATAGAGAGTCACATATGAGGTGGGCCTATAAATGCCTGTATAAGGAAGACATCTATTTGCATGTAATTTTCAAATAGATTTAACCTGTAATATTTGATAATGAAAAAACACGTAAATCACATTTTAACTTACAAAATATTTCTCTCTAAAAAGAATGTTTACTGGTAAAATATATAATTAATATCTACAATAAGCATCTCTTCAAACCACAGATTTATTTCAAATAGTTAATATACTAGCACTTTATTTCTAGTTTATTAATCTAATTCAGCATGATAATTCACTTATTTATCAGGCCTTAAATTTTCTCACAGAGAAGAATGGATTTTATGTTATATAAAATTAATTTGACCTTACACCTATAACATGGAAATTATGAGCCCTTATATTTAATTTCAGAAGTTAATTACTTAAGTGAGTATAAACTTTATTCCAAATTATTTGCTTAAAATATTTTATCAGAAGCCAAATCCTAAAGCAAACCTAGACTAGTCTTAAATAAGCAAATAATAGTGATAAGAATAAAATGAGTACCTTTCACATACTACCTATTTAAAATATATTTGTTGAATAAATGAATGAATGAAATGGCACAATATAGTTTTTGTTGTTACATGAAAAGTATATAGGCATCAACACAAAGCTTATTATAGTTTCCTAAGGATTTTTAAAGTCAAGACTCATCTTCAATAAATATTGGTAGGTAGCATTTTGTGTTATTCTTAAATTTTTCATATTTATATTTTCTATTTATTGCAAATTTTAATTTATTCTTGAATGCATCTTCTAGGGAACATCTAAAATACTGTTAACTATTTAAAATAAAACAATTACATATTCTTAAGTATTAACATTATTTTTATTCTACCAAAATTAAATTATAAGCACTAGATAATACTTCTATAAAACACTGTTGACTAATTATCATTATATTCACCAGTTTTTTTTTTTTTTTCACCAGTTTTAATATATGGATATAGCATAGTTTTTTAAAGATTTATTTACTTATTTTAGAGGGGCGGGGATAGGGAGTGCAAAGGAAGAGGGAGAGAGAGTTTCAAGCAGACCCCTCACTGAGCATGGAGCTCAGCTGACTCGGGGCTCAGTCTCATGACCTGAGCTGAAACCAGGAGTCAGACACTTAACCAACTGTACCAGCTAGGCGCCCCTAAAGTAGTTCTTGAATAGAGGACATTTACCGTATTTCCTTTTACTATTTGATATTTTTCTTGAGTTTTTAAATAAGTATATTTAAAAGTCTTAAACTCTACCATGCTTCAAAAATGTATCTAAATTCTATTCCATCTTTTAAAATAATGCCTTGAATTCCTTTCTGCTTTTGCCATTTTCTTTTCCCCTAGTTGAATGATGTACATTTTTTTTTTTTTTTTTGGATGACATGTAGTTAAATATCGGTTTGGTGTAAGGAGCTCTTACTAGAAATGGGAGTCACAAGTTCTGGAATCTAGGCTTTGGCAAATTATGTAATCTTTCTGGGCCCTGGTATCTACACTTATAAAAGCAGGGGTTGATCTAGCTTATGTCTGAGATCCCTGCTAGCTCTAAAATTCTAAGAAATTAAAACATAAAAATAATACTGAAATGACAAACATTATGAAATGTTGAATGGTGTCTATATTTAAATAGAAAAAAGAATGAAGTAATATAAACTTGAATGTACATCATTTACCATTCTAATAAGCTAATTAACTAACTGAAAGACTCTGTTTTAGTGTTCTAAGCTAACTGTACTGTCAGATCAATACTAAGTCTACTAATAACAAGTTGGAAAATTCTAGGAAACTTTGTTGTAAAAGGAGTATTAGTAACTAGTGCTGTGTGCAATCCTTATAACTAGCCAAGGCCAACATGCAGGTCCTTTATGAGCGTCTTCTCAGAAGAAAACAGCCACGAACCCAGAAAGACACCTGTCTAGGTATGTTTACAAATAGGCTAAGTAAATAATCCCTTTTTATTAGTATGAAACTTTACGTTAAATTAGTGTCAAATTTCATAAATATGTATTAATATAGAATGCTCCAACTATTATTTTAACTTCTAGAATCAATTTTGTTTGTAGATAAGCTTTGGTTAATTTCTTAATTTAAAATATTGAAGTTTGTAATTAAATCTTAAAGGGGTAAATACAAAGATTTCTTTGGCTTTCTTCCATATTCTTTTTATAGTTACTGCGAAGAGCACTTTTTGGAAACCATGTTTATTGCCAGATTTTTTGGCTTAATGATAATTACCTTAAATTTGTTCCAAGTCAATTTATCTTTGGATAGGTCTAGTAATAATGAAATATGGCTTAAAAACTGAAACTAATTTCATGTGTTACAGAAATAAAGAAAAGAAACATCTTCAGTATCTAGTTTTGTTTTTATGTCAATTTGGATTTATTTATATTAAAAAACAAAGTATCAAAAACAAAATAGCATCAAATCATCACTATTCATTATTATATATTTTAACAGAAATATTCTGATATCATTTTATTTACATATTTCCCTATATATTTTAGACTTTTGTTCTTGAATAGCAATAATATTTAACTTACTGCTCTTTCATAAGTATATTGAAGGTTTTTATTTTGTGTTATTACATAGACCCATTATAATTACATTTTTTTAAAATTATGAAAAGCAGTAGAAATAAAAAGTAAAATCATAGTATTTGTTTCTTGATTTTCAGAAGTATGAACAAAAGGAAATTAAGGAGCCAAAATCTTTCTATTTCTCAGATGAGAACTAGCTCAGAAAAATTTAAATTAGGCCAAATTTTCACTAAAACTGTTAATGGAGAAACTGATGTCATTATCAGGAAAGAAAAAGAAAGGTTAAAGATTTATTTATGGACATTTTTTTTAGAATATAGTTTTATATTTCATTTAAGTAAGTATAAAATTAAAGAATTCATAGTATGAAATTGTGGTCATTTCTAACATGCCTTAGTGTCCTTTTAGCAATAAAAATACACTTCTTGTTTATACTATGGTATTGCTAGCCTATCAGTTTACATTTGATCATTCTAAATTCTAAATAACTGTACAGAATGCTGCTTATGTAAGTCCTATATAAAGAAGGGCACGGTTTTGGGTTGGGTGGGAAAAGACTTGATTCAAACCATAATGGGGTTAATAATATTTTTATTGAGATAGGTTTTATCCTTAACACCTAGTATTATATTGGCATTTTCTGAGCTATGTTATAAATCTCTGTTGATTGAATAAAAAGATGAAAAGATGGGTGGATTTAGAAAATAAATTTAGGATGTGTTTACCCTTGACCTAGCACCCCACTTTTGTTAACCCATATCCTAAAAATATGAGTACTAGTATGTATATATATATATATATATATGTATAAGTATATTTATTATAGCATTACTCTTAGTAACAAAGCACTGAAGATAAAGATAAATGCCTATCATTAGACAAAGAGTAGAGTAGGGAGGAAATTATAATTTCCATTCACACCAGGGAATATTATGCAGCCATTAAAAAAAAAACGTTAGGGTTATATACCAGATTTCCACATAGAATTGCTGAGAGAAAAAAACAAATTGCAGAAAAGTGTGTAAAACACATTTTTTTTTTGTAAAAAAGTGACTCAAAACCCATATATAGGCATACTTCACTTTATTGTACTTCACAGATACTGCAATTTTTTACACATTGGATATTTGTAGCAACCCTGCATTGAAAAGTCTTTTGACACCACTTTTCCAACAGCATTTGTTCATTCTGTGTCTGTGTGTCATACTTTGGTGATTCTCACAATCATAAAATGTTTTCATTATTATTGTATTTGTCACAGTGATCTGTGCTTAGTGATCTTTGATGTTACTATTTTAATTGTTTTGGAGCACCATGAACCAACCACACCCACATGAGATGGTGAACTTAATAAGTTCTGACTCCTCCACTGACCAGTTTTCTCTCATCTCTCTCCCTCTTCTCCAGCCTTCCTATTCCCTGAGACACAACAATATTGAAATTAGGCCAATTAATAACCCTACAGTAACCTCTAAGTGTGAAAGTAAAAAGGAAGAGTTAACACATCTCTCATTTTAAGTCAAAAGCTAGAGATGATTAAGCTCAGTGAGGATGACATCTTGAAAGCTATGATAGGCCAAAAGCTTAGGCCTCTTGCCAACTAGTTAACCAAGGTGTAAATGTAGAGGAAAAATTATTGAAGGAAATTAAAAATGTTACTCCAGTGAACACATGAATGATGAGAAAGCAAAGCAGCTTTATTGCTATTATGGAGAAAGTTTTAGTAGCAGTTTCACTCATGTGGAATTTAAGAAACAAAACAAATGAGCATGGGGCGGGGTGGGGAAGAAAGGCAAACCAAGAAACAGACTCTTAACTGTAGAGAGCAAACTGTTGGTTACCAGAGGAGAGGTGGGCAGGAGGATGAGTGAAATAGGTGATGGGATTAAGGAGTGCATTTGTGATAAGCACTAAGGTGATGTAAGGAAGTGTTGAATTACTACATTGTACACCTGAAACTAATATTACTGTTTGTTAACTAACTTGAATTTAAATAAAATCTTAAAAAAAAAAAAAAAAAACAGCTACAACATTCCCTAAGACAAAGCCTAACCGTGAGCAAGACACTAACTCTCTTCAGTTTTATGAAGGCCAGGAGAAGTGAGGAAGCTGAAGAAGAAAAGTTTGAAGCTAGCAAAGATTGGTTCATAAGGCTTAAGTAAAGAAGCCGTCTCTATAACATCAAAGTGTAAGGTGAGGCAGCAAGTGATCCACAAGATCTAGCTGAAGAAAGACAGTCTCTTCAATAAATGGTGCCGGGAAAATTGGACATCCACATGCAGAAGAATGAAACTAGACCACTCTCTTTCACCATACACAAAGATAAACTCAAAATGGATGAAAGATCTAAATGTGAGACAAGATTCCATCAAAATCCTAGAGGAGAACACAGGCAACACCCTTTATGAACTCGGCCACAGTAACTTCTTGCAAGATAGATACATCCACGAAGGCAAAAGAAACAAAAGCAAAAATGAACTATTGGGACTTCATCAAGATAAGAAGCTCTTGCACAGCAAAGGATACAGTCAACAAAACTAAAAGACAACCTACAGAATGGGAGAAGATATTTGCAAATGACGTATCAGATAAAGGGCTAGTTTCCAAGATCTATAAAGAACTTCTTAAACTCAACACCAAAGAAACAAACAATCCAATCATGAAATGGGCAAAAGACATGAAGAGAAATCTCACAGAGGAAGACATATACATGGCCAACACGCACATGAGAAATCACTTGCCATCAGGGAAATACAAATCAAAACCACAATGAGATACCACCTCACACCAGTGGGAATGGTGGAAATTAACAAGGCAGGAAGCCACAAATGTTGGAGAGGATGCGGAGAAAAGGGAACCCTCTTACACTGTTGGTGGGAATGTGAACTGGTGCAGCCACTCTGGAAAACTGTGTGGAGGTTCCTCAAAGAGTTAAAAATAGACCTGCCCTACGACCCAGCAATTGCACTGCTGGGGATTTACCCCAAAGATACAGATGGAATGAAACGCTGGGACACCTGCACCCCGATGTTTATAGCAGCAATGTCCACAATAGCCAAACTGTGGAAGGAGCCTCGGTGTCCATCGAAAGATGAATGGATAAAGAAGATGTGGTATATGTATACAATGGAATATTACTCAGCCATTAGAAATGACAAATACCCACCATTTGCTTCAATGTGGATGGAACTGGAGGGTATTATGCTGGGTGAAATAAGTCAATCGGAGAAGGACAAACATTATATGTTCTCATTCATTTGGGGAATATAAATAATAGTGAAAGGGAATAGAAGGGAAGGGAGAAGAAATGGGTAGGAAATATCAGAAAGGGAGACAGAACATAAAGACTTCTAACTCTGGGAAACGAACTAGGGGTTGTGGAAGGGGAGGAGGGTGGGGGGTGGGTTGAATGGGTGACAGGCACTGAGGGGGGCACTTGATGGGATGAGCACTGGGTGTTATTCTGTATATTGGCAAATTGAACACCAATAAAAAATAAATTTATTATTAAAAAAAAAGATCTAGCTGAGATAAGTAATGAAGGTGGCTTCATTAAACAATAGATTTTCAGTATAGATGAAACAGCCTTCTATTAGAAAAAAGATGCCATCCAGACTTTCATAGTTGGAGAGGAGAAGTCAGTGCCTGGTTTGAAAGCTTCAAAGAACAGACTGACTCTCCTAATAGAGGCTAATGTAACTGGTGATGTTAAGTTGAAGTGAGTGTTCATTTACCATTCCACAAATCCTAGAGCATTTAAGAATTACTAAGTCTATCCTGCCTGTGCTTCATAAATAGAACAACAAAGCCTGGATGACAGCACATCTGTTCACAACATGGTTTACAGAATATTCTAAGCCTACTGATGAGACCTACTGCTCAGAGAAAAAGATTCCTTCCAAAATAGGACTGCCCATTGACAATGCACCTGGTCCCCCATGAGCTCTGATGGAGGCGTTCAATGAGATTAATGTTCTCAAGCCTGGTAACACAACATCCATTCTGCAGCTTCTGGATCAGGGAGTCCTTCAACTTCCACGTCTTATTATTTAAGAAATTCATTTCCTAAGGCTGTAGCTGCCATAGATGGTGATTCCTCTGGTGGTTCTTGGCAAAGTAAACCAAAAACCTCTGGAAAGGATTCACCATTTTGATGGCATGAAGAACATGTGTGACTCATGGGGAGGCCAAACTATTAACATTAAAAGGAGTTTGAAAGAAGTTGATTCTATCCCTCGAGGATAACTTTGAGAGGTTCAAGACTTCAGTGGAGGAAGTAAATGCAGATGTGGAAATAGCAAGAGAACTAGAATTAGAAGCAGAGCCTGAAGATGTGACTGTATTGTTGCAGTCTCTTGACAAAACTTGAACAGATGAGGAGTTGCTTCTTAAGGATGAGCAAAGAAAGTGATTTTGTGAGATGAGTCTACTCCTGGTAAAAATGCTGTGTAGACTGTAGAAATGACAACATAGGGTTTAGAATATTACATAAACAGTTCATAAAGCAAGTTTTGAGAAGATTGACCCCAGTTTTGAAGTTCTACTGTGGGTAAATGCTATCAAACTACATCTCCTGCTACAGAGGAATCTTACATGAAAGGAAGAGTCCGTGGATCTGGCGAGCTTCATTGTGGTCTTAAGAAATTGCCAGAGCCACCTCCACCTTCAGCAGCCACCACCCTGATTAGTCAACAGTCATCAACATCAAAGCAGGATCCTCCACCAGCAAAAAGATTACAACTCACTGAAAGCTCAAATGAGGGTAGCATTTTTAGCAATGAAATATCTTTTAACATGTACATTTTAGACAATGCTAATGTACATTTAATGGGGTACAGTATAGTATAAGCATAACTTTTACATGCACCTCTAATGTTTAGGGAAACCAGAACATTTATTAGACTCACTTTTTTTCAATATGAGTTTTACTGTAATCTGGAACCAAATTTACAATATCTGAAGTGTGCATGTATGTAAATTTGTATTTGAAAAATATGGAAGGATGTGTTTTACACTGTAACCTTGGATTAGCAGCAGGAGCCAAATTAAAAAAAAATAATTTATGTAAGCTGACAGTCACTTTTACACATTTCTATATAATTATATATGTATAAATAAACTTGAAAAAGAAAAATCAGAGTAGAATTTTAAACTCATGTAAAAATCCTAAATGATTTTGAAATCACTTCAAAGATTTTGAAGTATTGATTTTAAACATTCTTTAAAATGTTTGCATTGAAATAACTCTCACTAGCCATAATGCATATATACCAGCTTATGCATTTAGACTCCTGCATGTAAAGCTTAGAAAAATGTATCAAAACTCAAAACTTCAAAACTTCAAGTTCCTTTTCATTAAAAAAAAAATGTATTGATAAGATATCTAACTTCCTAAGAATAATTTTACTGATTTTTTCCTATAGAAGGAAAAGCTTATGAGTAATGTGAAAACAGACCTTGACATATGGAAGTTACAATTTTAATACAGGTTCTGCTGGGTTTGTTGTTTTTTTTTTAATTTGGAAAACCTGTATTAGAAGCCACTGATTTATCTGACAGTGAAATGACTTGTGAAATAATAGCTGATTTCTTTAGTTATCAGTGGGTTGATCAAATTTGTGGTCTCTTTCTTAGTACATGTCAATGTCTAAATGCAATTTTATTTATATATTTTTTGACTTTCAAACTATGTGTGTCCTACCAGCTTTAATTACTAGTGGAGTATTTGTTGTTCACATCATAGGTTGGTTGTATTTACAACATAAATGTAACTTTATTTTACCAAATTTAAATTTTATTTTAGTTTCTGTAGTCCCTTATAAATATTACCATTTTAATTGTAAATCTTTATACTTCATATAGAGGTTATAGCATACATTAAATAAATCAGGATTGTATGGAAAAAATTTGCCTCTGTTTTAGACTATCTTATAGAAAACTGAATGTATTAAACTAAAATAGAAACTTGCGTCTTGTTGAAAAGGATTTTATCATTCATCACTATTAAATAACCTATGCTCCAGGTATGTTTTAAATATGTTGTAGCTATGAAATTAATTTGACTTGAATTTTTTAGGAACACTTTCTATAAAAAACAAAGCATGTACACATCTAAAACAAAATGCTAAACTTTATTGAAATTTCCAATGTATGAAATGCAATAAAACCTAATTACATGTTTTATCTTTTCTATGATGCAGTTATGTAAGTTACTTTAGGTCCACAATCAGTATTTCCTTGACAATGTTAGCCTTTTATCAGAACTGGAACACTAATAATCAGAACATAGAATTTAATAGTTACCACATTACCTGCATGATTAATGTGTTCATGACCGTATATTACATTGAAATTCAATTCATTGAATATAGCCCAGATATTTCTCAACCTCCTGGTTTTTGAAAGGTAATTTACACTTGAAAAACATGGGCTTGAACTGTACAGGTCCACTTATACATGGATTTTTTTTTTCAATAAATACAGTATAGGACTGTAAATGTATTTTCTCTTATAATTTTAACATGTTTTCCTCTAGCTTACTTTTATAAGACTACAGTATATGATACATACAATGTACAAAATATGTGTTATCAATTGTTTATGTTATTGATAAGCCTTCTCATCAATAGTAGGCTATTAGTAGTAAGTTTTAGGAGAGTCAGAAGTTATACATGGATTTTTGACTGCATGGGGGGTTGATGCCCCTAATCCACATATTGTTCAGGGACCAACTGTATTAAATAATTTCAAAATAGTTTTCAGATCTAATATTGAAATATTTCCTCTAATTACTCTTTACTCCTTTCAGAGGAAATGGATGTAGAAGCTCGACTTACTGAACTATGTGAAGAAGTTAAGGTACTTGGATTTTTTTAAATTAACATTATCAAGTTATTTGAGTGGATTCTGTTTTCTATTCTAAATATTTTATCTAAGAACACTTAATGATTTATCCTTCCTCAATGGTTGACCATGGTAGAATCACAACTTAGTTGGTAAAAAGATTATTGGCTTCAGCATAAAGTTAACTTATTAAAGGGCTGGGTGGCTCAGCAGTTGAGCGTCTGTCTTCGGCCCAGGGCATGATCCTGGAGTCCCGGGATCTAGTTCCGCATCAGGCTCCCTGCATGGAGCCTGCTTCTCCCTCTGCCTGTGTCTCTGCCTGTTTCTCTCTCTGTGTCTTTCATGAATAAATAAATAAAATATTTAAAAATAAAATAAAAAATGTAAAATGTAAAATAAAAAAAATAAAATGTAAAATTCAGAAGAATTTCTAGACAAATTTATAAAGCATCCTTAAACTTACATAATTTTGTAAAATGAGAGTTTAGAAATAAAAAATTTTTTATATCAGCAGATCATTTTGTGTCTCAGACCATTTTTCCACTAGTTTATCCTTGAAATTAAATAGATTTTTTGTTTTTCCTTTTTTGGCCATGGAACTAAATATTCTATTTTAAGATCACTACATATTTCCTTCTCGGTTAGCTACATTAATGGAAGAAATCAGAGACTTGAATCAAACAAAAATATATATTTGGCTTGGGAATGTAGTTCCATATGTAAATTTGAATGAGGACTAGACTCTTTTGAAAAAGGTAACTTACCTTCTCCTTATAAAATTATACATATGTAAAATACAGTAGTAATTTTGTATATTCTCTTAGAGGTTTTCCCCACAGCTCAAATAAAATAAACATTTTAAGAATCATTAATGTTGTTATAATAGTTGCCCAAAAGAACATTAAACATTTAGAAGTAATCTTAGTAAGATGTGTGCAATTAATGTGAAAAAAATCTATAACATTTCACTGAGATATTTGAATAAGTAAACATACTTTTGAATGGAAAGAGAAACAATCACTGGAAGATACCAGTTTTTAGTTAATAATTTATATATACATATCAAAGTACCATTAGAAATGTTAAAATTAGATTTTTTAAAAACTCACTTGAAGAGAGGTAATAATGACTTAGAAAAACTTTTAAAATATGTATTATTGTAGAGGAACTTGCCCAGCTCAGTTAAAATGTAGATAAAATTCTAGTCATAGAAATAAAGTATGACTTCTCTAAAAGAACAGAATGACCAATCAATGGAACTAAGTGGCACTGAAACAGCAGTATATTTAAGAATTGATTATTTGATAAAATATCACAAACATTGGGTTCTCTAAATAGTAAAATTAGTTATTTCTACTATGTTATAGAAATTCTGAGGAGAGTATAAAGTTAAATGTACAAAAACAATTAGGAAAAACATTTGCATGTACATATGTATGTAAACAGTCTGATCTTGGGATGTGAAATAATCTCTTCAGGGTAATAGTGAAAAACCAAATATACTGATGATTTGAAACTTTTTTAAAAAACAAAATACTTGGTAAATTAAGTTGAGAAGCAATATACTGGAAGAAGTTATTTGCAATATTTAAAACTGGCAAATAATGCTTATAACATATAAAAAGCTGTGTATCAGTTTTGAAACACCCTTGTGAAAAAGGGATATGCATATATTTCACAAAAGTACTAATAAACATGAATATAAAGAATTGCAGCATTATTCTAAGTTCCCAATGTAGCCATTTAAAAGAATTAGGGAAATTTCTGTGCACTGACATGGATTATTTAATTCAAGAAATATTTATTGATCCATGATGCCAGGTACCAATTTCATACTGAAAAGCTCTTCAGGATATATTAATTAAAATAATTGGAGAAAAATATGAATATGATATATATGTTTAAAAGGCAAAAGCTGTATATAAATTTGCTCATATTTATGTGATTACATATAAAAATTTGAAAGATGTATATAATGCATATACATACATGATATATACATGTTATATGTGTGTATATGTATTCTAAGCTATTAACAATAATACAGAAAAGAGTTGTGTGAAGGTCGGGATTATAAAGAAATTTTTATTCTTTGCTCTATATCTATGTATAATAAATTTTAAAAATACTACATGTATTCATGTAATACAAATAAGTTCTTTTAGGTATACATTTAAATTTCAGTAAGTAAATGTACATCACAAAGTAAAGTTTAACATAACAAACTGGGGTAAATTTTGGTAGCAGATAGAATAGACAAAAGATATAATAATATTTGAAGAGCTCTTACAAATCCGTAGGAAAGCCTGATATTTTCCATTTCTCAGGTTAGTATAGGATACCCGTTAACAAAATAGGCTAATGAATGAAACATTGATTAGATTGAATATAATCTCACTAACCATCAAATAAAATTTTAATATTATCATACCATTTTTAACCTATCGGATTGACTGTGATTTTCTAATAATGTAATGCTTGCTGAGCTATGGTAAAATACAGATTTTTCTATCTCATCTTGGAGATCTTTTTCAGAGATTAATTTGGCAGTATATCCAAAGCCAGAGTATTATTTCTCAATCAATACCAAATAAACAATCAGACTCCTATATGTTGTAACTTATAATACAAAAATATTACCCTAAGGAAATGCCCAATGATAAGAGAATGGTTAAATGACTTATGGCATACTTACAATCTAAGTTATATAACCTTAAAAATGTGCTTTCAATAAATGTTTGGAGGAAAATGCTCGTTAACAAAAACGGCATAGTAGTATATATGATTCTAGTGCTTATATCTATAACTGAAAAAATGGAAAACTCTACAATAAAATGAACTTAATTTTCTTATTTTCTTTACCTGTTTTACAAGTCTATTTAAACAATATTTTGTAATCAAACAAGATCAGTGACTTCTATGAAAAAGTGTATATCCATATAAGAGAAGATAATGTTATTTGAGAAAATACTATAGAAATGTAAGATCTTATTATTCCTACATTTATACATATAAAATAGGTTGTCATACTTTTTCCTAATTTCCTTTTGACCAAAAAATGTTATTATTATTTATATTTTGACACATATTGTAAGGATTTATGTAAACCAGAGGAGTAATTTATTTATGTTTGAAGGGATGCTTTCCTAGTAGTGAAAATACTGTCGTCCTCTCAGAACCTTGGTGCCATGATTTCTGAAAAGTAAAATTAATAATTATAAGATATCTAGAGAGTCTTGCTCTCAGGGGATTAAAAAAACAAGTAAGTTGTTTACATTATTCAGCCTATGATAAAACCAAGAGAATTATTTATACGTGTGTGTAGATTATACTGAAAATAACATTGCTTGCCTTACACAACACTGTCTAGTTACTGTCAAATGCTTATTCAATTCTTCTTTTCCTAAACTCCGTTAAAACTATTCTTGGAATAGGGATCCCTGGGTGGTGCAGCGGTTTGGCGCCTGCCTTTGGCCCAGGGCGTGATCCTGGAGACCCGGGATCGAATCCCACATCGGGCTTCCGGTGCATGGAGCCTGCTTCTCCCTCTGCCTGTGTCTCTGCCTCTCTCTCTCTCTGTGACTATCATAAATAAATAAAAAAAAATAAAAAAAAAACTATTCTTGGAACACGACTGCATGTTTCCATTTATTTTAGAGTACATTTTAATCTTCTCTATGTTCTTGAGACATGAAAACCTTGTTAGCTTTGTTTTTAATATGTTTATAAAATGTTTCCCAGGGCAAAATACATCTGTAGATTTACTATACATTGATAAATCTATATTTGTTTTATGTTGATTCTATTAGCTTCCCTTCCAGAATTCTGGAATTTTTTAACATTTTCTGAGTTTGACCATAAATCAGGGGGCTTTTTCCTTATTTAGCCTGTAATTCCTTATTCATTCAGTAAATATTTATTGAGTGACTCCTGTATTCTGGTAACCAAAGTTACAAGAGTTGAATATGACACAGTCCCTTCCCTTCTTATTAATTTTGCTGAATTTTTGTTTTATGTCCTCTCTGAATTAGCATAGATAAATGGAAACTTGGTTTGCAGGAGGAAGAAAGTCTACTGAATTGTAGACTTCAGAAAGAAGTAAAAATAAGCTGAGTTAGGATATATCATATGTGATAAGCAACGTTTTGAGGGTTTTTTTTTTTATTAGAAAGGGAAGGTAGAGCTATAATTAGTACTCTTAGGATATACCAAACTTGAATAACTTTCTTTTCACATGGAATATGTCATCTGCTAGGTGATGAGTCTAGAGCTCAGGAGAGATGTGATACAGATATAAAGATTTAGCAGTCATTAGTATATAGATGATATAGGAGTGACTTTCAACCTTAACCTGAATAGACTACTTCTACCTTCTTTAGGATGGGGAAATGAAATCAGCATATATCTTATATTTGAGGTAGATTTTCTAGTATTGCTAGTAATTGAAGACAGATGTTTCCAGCAAGATATTATCTGCCTAAATAGTGCTGCCTCAGTGAATTTTTTTAAAAAGCATGTCTTCATAATAAAAATGCTTGTCTAAAAGAGAAGGAATCATTCTAATTTATAGTCTTTGTTCAAAAATCCTTATTCTACCTATTCAAGAAATCCAAATGCCTTGTAGAAGATCCTACACTTCGTTGTATAACTCATTACTTTTAACTTGTATCACCAGTTTAGGTGAATATTTAAATAAACAGGATAATTTAATACCAATATTAGAACACTCATAACAGTATATAAAATTATTTACCCACTTTTCTTTCTTTGCTCATATAAGTCTTTGAGTTACATTGGAATGTGGGCTCTACATTTAAAATGTGCTCAATAAACAGTGGGTGAATGAATCGTGACAAAAGAGAAAAGTGTTTGATGACTCTTTGAAAGGATTACTGTTAGCAATATAGAACCTAGAAACATAGGAGTGAGGGGAAAATAATAGTACTTTGGAAAGTATCTCTGGCCTTTCTGAAGAGTTACAGATCTTTTCAGTACTTTACTTAGCAGATTAGAAATGAAATCTCATCTAAAAATTTTATAACCTTCATCCTGATTTGTATATTGTGTTTAAAAATTCCCAGAATTTTAGTGTTTGAAGCTGATCATGCTCTATAGAATCCTGATTTGTAGTTTTAAACTATATTTGACATTATTTCAGTAACAAGATATCTCAGATTGAAGTTTCAGTAAGTTGAAAATTGCTGTAGTAACCATCACATAGGAAAAAGCATGCACACGCATGCACACACACACATTTCTCATTAAAACTAAAAATTTGTCTTTGTATTAATGTTCTCAATAACACAATGTATTTAGACATGTTAAGTCTCAGGAAGCAATGAAGTTCTTTTCTTGTCATTTCAGAAAGTAGAAAATCCTGATGAACTGGCAGAACTTATAAATATGAATCTTGCGCAACTTTGTTCACTTCTAATGGCTTTATGGGGACAGTTTCTGGAAGTTATAACACTACATGAAGAACTAAGACTTTTATTAGCACAAGAACACCATACTTTGAGGGTAAGTTAAAGAAAAATGATGTTAGAACATTGTGATGAATAGTATTAGTGTTTTTTAGAATTTTCTTATGAATAAAAAGCTTGATTCTTAACTATACGTTGATAAATTAGAAAAGGCATTTACTGTACTGTTGTGTTCTTGTTTGATTTCTTAAGTTAATAATAGAATGATATAGTTGAGCACGTGATCTACCTCAGTTACAACCCCTGCCACTAACAAAAACCTCTAAATGTAACCAAAAGAGAAAAATATATGATATAGGCTAGCCCCTGTTATTATAGCCAGGTCTCATTAGGAACAGAAATCAGGAACAAGAGAGCCATCTTAAACTAATCTAGAATCTTTCTCTCCTACTTTTCCTCCTTTTGCTTCATTTGGGATGTATATTACAAACTTGGAAAGTGAAGGGGAGTAATCTAGACGTACATGTCTGCTGTGGGCTTACTGTGGACCTTGTGCAGAAATGTTTGTACAATTATATTGACTGGCTTATCAAGAGGCTTTGATGGGATCCCTGGGTGGCGCAGCGGTTTGGCACCTGCCTTTGGCCCAGGGCGCGATCCTGGAGACCCGGGATCGAGTCCCATGTCAGGCTCCCGGTGCATGGAGCCTGCTTCTCCCTCTGCCTGTGTCTCTGCCTCTCTCTCTCTCTCTCTCTCTCTGTATGACTATCATAAATTAAAAGAAAAAAAAAGGCTGTGATATACTAAATATCTGACTACTTTTCCAGTTATCTCCTTATATGTTCTGCACACGCTAATTTTCCTGACCTACTAGTAGATCCTCAAAAACACTGTTTTCTTTTTTCTATTTTTCTTTTCATAATTATAAAATACAATATTATGAAAGTCAGAAAAGTACATAAAATGTGCACATTTTAACAATAAAAACACATATCCTTTTAACTCTCACTCAGATCAAGAAATAGAAAATTGTCAATACCACATCAGTTTTCTGTGTTTTTTCTAATTTCTTTTCCCCTCCTGAGGTTGAGAAGTAATCACCATCCTGTCTCTTGGGATGATGAATTCATCCCTTCTCTTTTAGTTTTACCATCTATTTATGCATACTAAATAATACAAGTTACTTCAGTCTGTATGTTATTCAGCCTGTGTTATTGAATTCTATATAAATGAGATACCATGTATATTCTTTGTCTTGCTTCTTTCACTCAGGATTGTGTTTGTGAGAGTATTCCATGTTTTTGTCAGTAGCTATAGACTGTTCATTTTTGATGGTGTGATGTATTTCATTTGTATCCACTCTGCAATGTTGGTGGACATTTGGATTGCTTCTAACTTATAGTGCTACAAACCAAGCTACTGTGAACATTCTTGTATATACTTTCTGGCATCCAGTTACTCTGAATTATTTACTTGTAAAGGAAATTGCTATGTCATAGGATATGCATAACATCAGTTATTTACTAGCAGATGCCCCACTGTTTTCCAAAATGGTGCCAATTTTCACTCCCATCAACACTTTTTTTTTTTTTCCATCAACACTTGATGAGAGATCTTGTTATTCCACATACTCCCAAACTCTTGATTTTGGTAAACATTTCAAAAATGTTGCCAGTCTGATACCATTGTGGTTTTCATTTGCATTTCTCTGATGACCTGTGCAGTTGAGCACTGCCTTGTGTGTGACTATTGGCTGTGTAGATTTCCTGTTTCTGAAGTACCTGTTCAGGTTGTTTGACCATTTTTCTATAGGATTACCCTTCTTTTTCCTCTTGATTTGGAATACTTTTCATATGTGTTCTAAATACTGGCCTTTGTTACATTTTTATAAATAAATCTTCTCTTGTGTCATAATTTTTTTCTTTTCACTATCTTTGTGCTGTATTTTGATAAACTAGAGGTCTTAATTTTAGTGTAGATGGAACAGAAGAGAAAGACCAGACATAGACATATCTATACTTGGATGTAATATATGCAGATCAGAAAGGAAAATTTTAGATTTTAAATAAATGATGTCGGGACAATCAGATATTCATGTGGAAAAGTATTATATAAAATTCAGTTCCAGGTGTCTTGAAAATAAATACATAAGGCAAAATCATAAGACTTATATAATAGAGAAGTTACAGAGGAATTACTAAAGTAGTGCAGAATACTCCTGTATATACTTTTCACCAGAATCACAAGTTATACATATATATATATATTTGCACATATACGTGGATTTTCTTTTTCCTGAATCATTTGTTAATTAGAAGCATCATGTTCTTTTATCTGTAAATACTTCAGGGTATATTGACTAAGAACAAAGATAGTTTACTTAACTATGCTACAGTGATCAACTTTATGAAATTTAATATTGATACAATACTGATATCTAATGTAAAACTCATTTTACATTTTATCATTTGTCATAATAATGTCCTGTGTGATTTTCCCCTTTCCTGGGATCAAATTCAAGATCACACATTGCATTCAGTTGTCATGACCCTTTATATACTTTAGACTCATTTAATCTAGAATAGTTCCTTCTATTTTATCTTTCATGAAGAATATTGGCCAGTAGTTTTTAGACCATTGTTCAATTAGAGTTTCTATTATGTGTAATATATTCCTTGTGGGTTCCATTCAGGTGAATAATATTAGTGGAAATACTACATTTTATTTTATTTCTTTTTCAATATGTTTTGATAAATTATGTTTTTTAAGGAGTTTGTTCTAAATTTAGTTATTCGCATCAAATAACTCATTGTATCCTTCAATTATTTTTTTTAACATCTGCAATATCTGTTTTTTTTCTATTTCATTCCTGATATTAGTTGTGTATTCATTTTGTTCCCTTGATAAGTCCCACCAGAAGATTGTCATTTTATTAGTTTTCTCAAAAACTAACTTTTGATGTTAGTTCTCTCTTGTGTTTTTTGTTTTCTGTTTTATTAGTTTTGCTTTTGACTTTAGTATTTCCTCTCACTTTCTAAAAGTTTAGTTTGCTGTCTTTTTAAGACTTCTGTAAGTAGGTGTTGAGCATTTCCTCTTTTCCGTTATACACATTTAAGTTTATAACTTTCCCCCGAAGTACTGCTTTGGCTACATTCCGCAAGTTTTGGTATGTTGTTCTTTTTATCCTTTGGTTCTCAAAATTTTCTAATTTTGGGAGCAATTCTTTGATTCAGGGTTAATCAGGAGTTTTTTTCATTAATATATAAAATGGTTTATTAGAATAATAAATACATCTCTTCATTTTCTGGATGTAAATAAAAACAATATACTAGTCAATGACAGGATTCCATAGGAACCACTTTATATACACTACCCCCAAATGGGAAATCTCCCGGCATACCAATAATAATTTGTTTGGGAAATCTTTGATTTAAAGCAATAAAGGTAAACAAAACTATTATGAAATACATACTAGATATGTTGTCCTATATTAGCAGTCATCATTTTTTTCCTTGCTCAGAAATCCAAGAAATTGAGTACCTTCCCATAGTCAGTCTTCTTCTGAAATAAGGGACCAGAGATAGTTCTTGTCCAGAAGTTATCGTGTTTTATATCAAGTAACCCTGCAATCCTGAATTAGAGGTTGGCACTTATAGCCCACAGGTAGTTATCTATATAGCATGGACATGATGAAGACTAGTAATTTTTGAAGGGGATCTGCTGCATAAACTCTGCTGATTTGGGGTAGTTTCTTTTAGAAGAATGACTGACTGACTAAAGCGTTCACATCACTTCTCTGGAATAATTTAGACATGGAACACAAAAGATACTCAGTTACTAAACAGTGGCAGTTGATTTCTAGTTTATCTTCATTGTAATTAGGAAACAGTCCGATTTCAGGACTTTAATAAACTTTGAGATTTGCTTTACCTATATTAGGAATGTATATTCATCAGGTTGCTGGGTTAAGTATTCTAAATATATCTGCTAGTTAAGTTTATAAATCATTTTGCTCAAATTTTTCATATTTTTAATGAATTTATGGCTTTATGGCTGCTAGTGCTATCAATTATCAAGAAAAGTATGGCAAAATCTCCCATTATGGCTGTAAGTTTGTTCTTATTTGTTGTTACCAGGTAGTAAGTGATAGAGATGAGATTCAAACCCAAGCAGTATGGCTCCATAGCCTGCATTCTTTACCACTTGATATATTGTCTTTCAAAATGGAGAAGAGAATGATAGCAAGGATCAGAAGCAACTTTGTAGAATAATGTTTTACCAGGTTGTCTGGAGTAGAATAAAAACAAGAAGACAAACTTCAATAGAGAGAAGCTAATGAACACACATTGGAAATAGGGGGCAAAGAAGGGAGGCCGAGATAAAAATTGGGTTTATGGAAAATTCAGATGCCAGAGATAAATTGAAATTTTTCCTAGAGCTTCCGTTTTTTTCACTCCATTCCAGATAGCAATATAGGGCCTATTTAATTCCTAAAAGAAACAAGGAAGAGTAATTAAGACATGGCAGGAATGTGGCCCAATGTTAGATTAGCACTAGGTGTTATATGTTGGCAAATTGAATTTATATAAAATATTTTTTAAAAAAGAAAATGCCCTAATGTTACTTCACCAGGAATAATAAACCTTGCCCTGTCTTGTCCTGTCCTGCTGTATATCACAAAAACTGGAAATGGTGGTATATTCTGTCCTCTGATTCCCATTTATGCATTTAAACAGAAATTTTTTTCATAAAGCATATCTGTATTCTGATAATATATTGCTAAACCTGCAATAACCAAAATAGTTCAAAGGTCATTCATTGTATAGAGACAGAATTGGCTATAGTAAAGTCTATAGACTGTCTAATAATGTATTCAGAAGCAGCAAAATTGAACCAAGTCACAGAAGTGAACATAGGACATAGAATCTCTTGTTGGGTTGAAAGCAAATAAGCAAAGAGTTGAACTAAAGAGGAAACGTTAAGTCTCTACTTGAAAAGAACAATGTAATGAATTTAACATTTGTTCTACTGTGTTATTTGATATCAAGATACAGAAAAGACAGGTTTTCTGGTTCTTAGAAAATTAAGTCACCTAGA